CGGTAGTAGCAGCCAGGGGTGTCTCCAGGCCTGGTCCTCCTGCATGCTATGCCCGAGGCAGGCCTGACGGGCAGCTGAGGATCGCAGAGCCCATCTGCCTTACAGCCAGCCGGAGGGATGTCCTGCCAACCCACCACCCCCTCATAGGACGTCAACTCAGAGCACGGCTCGCAAGTGCCGGCTGGACCCAAAGCCTGTGTCCCCGCGTGCGGGGCAGAGGCCCTTCTCTCCGCCAAATGTCTACACAGTATACACAGGACATTGTTGCCGCCACCGTGACTGGTTTTCTGTCCCTGAGAACGTGACGTTTGTGACGTCCTACCGGTTGGGAGTGCTTCCCCACACCCCAGCCATTGCCGCCTGCTCCCAGGAGGCTAGGGCAGGCCTGTGTGGGCTGGAGCAGCAAGGCGCCAGCCCACCCCCTTGCTGGCACTGACTTTGCCTTGAACAGACCCCCCTCCCCTCCCCCACAAGCCTTTAATTGAGAGCCACTCTCTATAAGTGTTCGCTTGTGCAAAAGGGAATAGTGCCGTGGAGGTGTGTGTGTGTCCATGGCAATTCAGATCCAAGTGACCGTCCACGTGTGTGGGCGGGCCTTGCCTGGGGAGTGAGGCCACCAACCAAAGTCAGTCCCTTCCCACCTGTGTTTCTGGGGTTTTTTTGTTTGTTTGTTTTTTTCTATATATATATTTTTTGTTGAATTCTATTTTATTTTTAATTTTCTCTTCTCCAGACACAATGGCACTGCTTATCTCTGAAATGGTGTGATCGTCTCCTCATTGAGCGGCGGCTCCCACCGCACTGTGGGTAGTGTGTGACCGTGGCTGTACTGTATAGTGAAACATAGTTGGCATATCTTTGTTTGAAGTTTGTTGGTGACTCCACCAAACTGGTGTAAAAAAAAATCAAAAACTCCACAAAAAAAACAAAACACAAAACACAAAAAAATCCTGCCTATATTTTATTCAGTTTCAAACTTTTATTAGTCTATTTTTAATTATAAAACCAGAAAGCTGCAATTTCTTTTCCTCCCTCCCATTCGTTGGCTTGTTTTTTTAATGTCAAATCTGTTGTGGGTTTTTTTTTTTTTTTTTAAACCATGAAAGGAAAAGCCTGGGGACTGGTGGGCCTGGGGGGCTACTGACGGGGGCAGAGGCTCCCCCACTCAGTGCCCAGTGACTGGTCTGACCAGCCAGCTGCTCCTTTCCATCCTTTTTTTTTTTCCTTTATTTTTATAGTCAGAGCCCTTGGTGAGGTTATGCGTGCCATGAGTTCCCACTCTACACCACAACGCTGGTGCCTCGGTGTTGGCCAAACTCTGGAGTCACTGACTGGTTTGACTTTCATACGGTGAATATGCATTTGGTCTGTACTGATCATGGAATAAACACATCTCTCTTTTTTAATGCTGGCGTCTCCCTGACATTTCTTTGTGAATCAACTGTTGCCTAGACTAGGCATAGGACCCCAGACCATCTCTGCACAAAAACTATGGACAGTGGCCATGGAGCGCCTGTCCCATGAACAGGGGACCTGCCTTTTCCGGGCAGGAGCCATTCTGACTCATGGCTGCCACCCCAAGCTATAGGTGTGACAGGGAACCCTGTGACCCTGGCCTAGGTGGGTGACATGCCCCAGCAGAACCCTGACCAAACTCCGGACCATGTTCTTCCTGTTAATCCTCCTCCACCTTGGTCCTCCACTCACCAAAGGATTTGGGACACTTAATCCCATCTCGCTTGCCCCTACCTAGCCCCTTATTTCATTTAAGCTCAGGGTTAACCAGATATTCTTAGGTAAGTGTGCATTCCCCTAAATGGGATCCTCGCCGCCCCCCTCGCACACACACATTTCCACAGAGAAAACCTGCAGGGAGCTTCCCTGTCTGTGTACCCTCCTGTACACACTTGCCCTAGCCACAGGCATGGGTGGTACCCAAGAACAGCCACTAGGATGTAACATAACAAGTATATAATGTATATGTATGCAGAGACAAACTGAAACCTTTCTAGCACTGTTTTATTAACCCACATCCCCCTTTTTCAACCATAAAGGCCCTTTACTGTCTTGTGTTTAGGATTTGCCAAGCCTCCCAGAGGGTATAGTTAAGGCACCCAGCCAGTGCCCTCCCACGTCCTGAAGTCCCAGCCCACTCTAGATACTTTCAGTATACCACTGTGCAGGAACAATGTGACATGTTTGGGTTTTTGTTTTTGTTTTTTAGGGGGGTGGGGAGGATTTTCTTTGGTCTCATCCTACCCTCTCATTTTTGCTCCTTTTGTTCAGAAATTTACCTGGGCTGGTCTGACAGACTGGAGATGGTTTTGTCTGCACTTTCCTCCTAAAGACTTAATTCTGCCATGGCCTTCTCCACACCTGATAGGTGTTTCTGTAATTGGGTTGTAATTAGAACAGAATCTTTTTCATTTCTCTGGCCATTTCCAAGTTCCTCCCACAGTACTAGAACCCTTAGTCCTATACAAGAGTAAGAGGTGTGTACAAGCCCCCACTGTACTGTATGCACGGATCGCTTGGCCAATAATTATGTCAGTGAATCTGAGACTTGTATTAAAACACTTTAGATATTTGTAGAAGGGAATTCATAGACTTTTCACTTATATACTAAAGGTTCTTTTTTTTGTGCAGTTCTCATTGCAAAAATAAACATTTGTATTGAATATAAAGTTACCTCCTGTGACGACTGTTGTCTTTTTGAGGGTTGAGTTGAAAGGGGGGAGGGTTGGGGGCAGTGTTACGTACTGGAGTTCAAAGAAGGGCAATTCCCAGGCACCCTGTGCAGCCAAACTAGAACACTGAGAAATCCCGGGAACAAAGCGTTATTATACCGGTCAATCATGCAAAAACAGACAGATGGTTACATCTAGGGAGAACAAAAGTTAGTACAATACAGGCAATGGTAATCATAGTCCAATCATGTAATTTTGACTCAGGCATTGTTTACTGAGGCAGACCCCGTGGGCTTAAGTACTAACCTGAGAGTATAATACAAGGCACATATAGAACAGTGAAAGGACAGGTGGGAGGTGACGGAGATGAGTCTTAGAAGGGCACTGGTGGCTCATGCCTGTAATCCTAGCTACTCGGGAGGCAGAGATCAGGAGGATCCCTGTTGGAAGGCAGCCCGGGCAAAAAGCGAGACCCAGTCGAGAAAATACTCAAAAAGCTGGCGAAGTGTCTCAAGTGGTAAGAGCTCCTGCCTAGCAAGCATGAGGTCCTGAGTTCAAACCCCAGTACCGCAAAAATAAAAAATAGCTACAGAAGCACATTTAGATAGACCTATACCTAGGTAACCAGCTGAAAGCTTCCAGGGGCTGCGGTTAGGGGCAGAGGTGCAGGGGGGAGGGGGGCAAAGAGCGAGAGAGAAGCCACTGATGGCTGTTTTTTTCAGTAAATCCTCCTAGATTGCTGATCAGCCAGATGTAGGATTTCAGATGAATGACTTCATCCCTGAAATTCAGGTTCATGTCTGTAATAGAAGGATGTATGCTACCTACACTTAATAAGGTTGCTATAATGACAGGTGTCTCTAAAATGGTCAAGGATCTTGGCGGAAGATTGCAAAATAGGGAGCTGGCTCCTTGCAGAGACCGGGATCTATGACTCAGTGCCCCACCATGCCCGGCCCTGCCCTGCTTCCTCTTTCAGCTAGAGCCCCAGTGATTCCATCTGCGGGGTCCTCCTGCTACTCCCAAATCGGGCCAACCCTCCAGGAGTCAGGATCTCCCTTACAGTTTGCAGTCACCCGCGAAGCCCGGCCTCAACACTTGCCAATGCGCTTCCCCGTGGGATCTGTCGTTTGGCCATCAATGGCCGCCGCTGTCCAATCATAGACTTGAAGGGCGGGCCGACGGGCCCATTAGGCCAACCAACGGGAAGACCCCGCGGGGCCAAAACCTCTGGACTCGCCGTTGGAAGCAGGGCTGGGTAAAGGGTGCTGCTGCGTCTCACGGAGCCAGGCTGAAGGGAGGGTCGCGCGCTCCAGAACGGGAGGCACTAAAAGGCGGGAGGGTGGACAGGACTCCGGAAGTCTCCTTGGGCCGCTGCGACTGACCTCGCCTCTTCCAGGTCCCAACGGTAACATTGTCTGTCCTTCCGCTTCCGGGCCCGTCCGACCCTCCATATTAGGTTCCGGCCCCGCCCCTTTATCATTGGCCCGGCCTCAGTTTTCTCCGCCCAATGCTCCGCCCACTCCCCCCTCCGTCTGGCTGCATAAGCCACGCCCCCATCCCAAATGATCCTCCTGGACCAAGTTGGGTCCACCGTTCCGGCTCGCGGGCCACACACACCCTGCGTATGTCCCTGCCTTGAGGCTCCTCCCACTTCCCACCTAAGCACGCTGTCCTTCGATTTGTCTCGGCTCCACATCTCCCGCTTGTCTTTATTTATTGTTGGTGGTATTAGAGTTCGAACTCATGCTTGCAAAGCAGGCTCTCTCCTGCTTGAGCCACCCCTCCAATTCATTTTGTGCTCCAGTTATTTTGGAGATGGGGGGAGGTCTCGCGAACTATTTGCCCCGGCTGGTCTTGAACCTCGATCTTCCCGATCTCAGCTTCCCAAGTGGCTAGGATTACAGACGTGAGCCACTGGCGCCCGGCTCCCTTTTGTCTTTACAGCTTTCCTGCTGCAGGTGTCCTGTTGGGCCCAGGTCCTCGTTTTCAGCTCCGCCCGTGCCTTTCTAGGCCCCACCCTCTATTCCTTTTTCCCCAAGCCCTTTTCCAGCCGCAGAAGCCAGGTAGTCTCAAGCTCCGCCCCCTCCCCCCTGGATTTATATTCCCCGTCCCTGTCGCGCCCAGGTGTTTACCTGTCACTTTAAGTGAGTCATGTGCGCTGGCAGTTTCTGTCTGAGCCGCCCATCTGTTCCCTCAGCGCGTCCCGCGAGCCCCGACAGCACGGAGGGCCACCAGGCCAAAGGTGGCGGTGGGCTCCCGGGGACGGATCCCGTCTCGCCGCTGCAGCCACCGCCCCCGGTGCACTCTCCCGACCACAGCGCTGTCATTGTCCCGGAACGCCGAGGCGACATGCCCGAGTTGGTGGTGACTGCGCTGCTGGCGCCATCGCGCCTCACGCTGAAGTTGCTGCGCGCCTTCATGTGGAGCTTCGTGTACTGCGCCGCGGGGCTGACCGCGGCCGTCTATGGCTGCATCGCGCTCACCAATGTGCTGTGCCGGCCTCGGCGGGGCTGCTGCGGGCAGCCCCGGTGCGCGGCTCCCGCCTGCCTAAAAGACCCCACGCTGGGCGAGCACGACTTCTTGAGCCTCAGGGTGAGCGCGCTGGGGCAGCATCCAGGCTGCTGGGGGTTTCATATGGTTGTGGGTGGGATAAGCCAAGAGGAGATGGTTGAATCCAAATCCCGGCTGGCACAGAACCCTAGGGCTGCAAGCTAGGCAAGAAGGGTTCCCAGGCCTTACATAAACTCTACCCTCCTGCAGAGTTCCGGCCTGCGTCTGCACAGTGTCTCTGCTGGTCGTGGCAATGGGCCTCTCATGCTGTTCCTGCATGGCTTCCCTGAGAACTGGTAGGTCTGGGATCCAGGGGCTGTCCAGGAGATGGAGACAGGGCTGAGTAGTCCTGAGGGTGCAGAGCATATAGGGCCCAGATAGTGTGCAAAGTGGGCAGGGAGACTGAACCAGGAGACTGGAATCTGTAGGGACAGGATGTGGGTATTTAGGTAGAGCCTGCCCTGGATTCCCTTCCCTCTCCTCCCTCCCCTCCTCCCGGGTACATCCGCGCCCTGCCCGGTATTCCCCCGTCCTCTCTTCTGGGAAGTCCAGAGCAAGAAGGTGGGGTAGCCAAAGGTCTCTGCAGGGCGTAGGTTGGAGGCGCAGCCTGGGGGCTCTGACTCAACTTCCCCCCACACTCCTACCCACTGGGCAGGTTCTCCTGGCGCTACCAGCTGCGGGAGTTCCAGACCCGTTTCCATGTTGTCGCTGTGGATCTGCGTGGCTATGGCCCCTCCGATGCTCCAAAGGATGTGGACTGCTACACCACTGACCTGTTGATGGCCGACATCCAGGATATCATCCTGGGCTTGGGTACAAAGCAACCCCTCCCCAACCCTGGCGAGGCCTCCACCATGTGCACACTCCCCATGTCTTCACTCACTTCCCCCACCTCAGCCTCACCCCTCCCTGGCATCTTAGCTCAGCACATCTGTCTCCCAGGTTATTCCAAGTGCATCCTTGTGGGCCACGACTGGGGCGCCGTCCTCGCCTGGAATTTCTCCATCTACTTTCCATCTCTGGTTGAGCGGATGGTTGTGGTCAGCGGTCCCCCCATGTCTGTGTACCAAGGTGTGTTGGGGATGCTGGGATGTGTCTGGGTGCAGGCGCAGGCATCTGTGTTTTCATGTGGACGGGTTGTCAACATGCCAGGAGCAAAGCAGTGAACTTGGAGCTCTTCCCTTAGTGGCACTCAATCTAAAATAAATGACAAAGCCAGGTGCTGGTTAGTTCATGCCTGTGATCCTAACTACTTGGGAGGCTGCGATCAGGAGGATGGAGGTTCAAAGCCAGTCTAGGCAAATAGTTCAAGAGACCCCCCCCCATCTCCAAGATAACCAGAGCAAAAATGGACCCAGTAGTGTAGCTCAAGCAGTGGAGCACCTGTTTTGCAAGTGCGAATCCATGAGTTCAAACCCTAGTCCCATCAAAAAGAAAAGCCAGGCACCATTGTCTCAAGCCTGTACTCCTAGCTACTCAGGAGGATCACAGGTTCCAGCCAGCCCAGGCAAATAGTTCGCAGAACCCCATCTCGAAAAACCCACCACAAAAAATGGACTGGTGGAGTGGCTCAAGGTGTAGGCCCTGAGTTCAAGCCTCCATACTTCAAAAAAAAAAAAGAACAATTGGGATGAGGGATGCTCAGCCTGTGACGATCACCTCTAACAAGGAGCCTCATGTTCCAATTGGGGGAAACTGAGGTAAGGGAGGTAAAATGGTTTTCTTTTGACAGCAAAGATGTAAACAGTTAAGCCACCACAAACTTCAGTAGAATCAGTTGCCGTCTCTGGCATCCAGTTTCTATTATATCACTTGACTTGTACGTTTTTGTTTTTGGCAGTAGTGGGATTCAAACTCAGGGCTATGTGCTTTCCAGGCAGGCAGTCTACCTCTTGAGCCATGCCTGCAGCCCTTTTTGCTCTGGTTTTGGAGATAGAATCTCACTTTTTGCCTGGACTAGCCTGGGATCCTACTAATCTCAGCCTCCCACGTGGTATAGGATGACAGGCATAAGCCACCATTTTCCACCTGTATGTTTTTGGGTGCTGGGGATGGAATTCAAAGCCTCAAGCAAGCTAAGTACCTGTTCTACCACTGAGCTATATCCCCATCCTCACCTGATACCTTACATTTATCTCCAGTATTGTAATCACAATTGTGTTCTCTCTTTAATTGTGTTCATTCTCTCTCTCTCTCTCTCTCTCTCTTTCTCTCTCTCTCAGCTGTCTCTCCCTCTAGACTATCAGCTCCATGAGGTCAGGGTTCACCCATTCTCCAGGGTCTACAACAGGGCCTAGGACAAAATACTTGCTCAATAAATGTTTGTTGAATGAAGCAGAGAAAATGCATCCAGACCTGGGCAGGGGAAACTCATCACTGGCTGTGGGGGCTCTCAGGAGCTGCAGAGGGAGGCACCCCCCATCCTATGGATACAGTGACCACCCAGCAGTGAGGGACACTTAGGGAGTTGAGTGTCTTCACAGACAGACAGTGGGCAGTAGCGTTCCTGAGGCCTGTGTGCCTGACCTGGCTGCAGGGTCAACACAGACCCAGGCCTCACTTCTACTTCCTCTCACCCCACCCCTCCCAAGACTACTCAATTCGCCACATCGGACAGTTCTTCCGCTCGAACTACATGTTCCTGTTCCAGCTTCCCTGGCTGCCGGAGAAGCTGCTGTCCATGTCTGACTTCCAGGTATATTGAGGTGAAGAGCCAGGGGTGGGGGTTAGTGGTGGGGGCTGGGCAGGCTGGACACTGAAGCCAGAGCCCTACTGTGTGCCCAGATCCTGAAGACCACTCTCACGCATCGCAAGAGGGGCATCCCACACCTGACCCCTGATGAGCTTGAGGCTTTCCTTTATGACTTCTCACAGCCCAGGGGCCTCTCCGGGCCCATCAACTACTATCGGAACATCTTCAGGTGAGAGCAGATCTAGGAGAGTTTGCAGGGGTAGGGAATGAGAGGGCCGTCCTTCTGCCTGTCTGACTTTCTTTCTGTCTTGGCCACAGGAACTTTCCCCTGGAGCCCCAGGAGCTGGCCACACCCACGTTGCTGTTATGGGGGGAGAAGGACCCCTACTTCGAGCTAGGGCTGGTGAGAGCCATCGGCAGCCGCTTTGTGCCAGGCCGACTGGAGACCCACATCCTGCCTGATGCAGGGCACTGGATCCCACAGACTCACCCCAAGGAGATGCACCAGTACATGTGGGCTTTCTTGCAGGACCTGCTTGACTAGTGGTCCTGGCTTTCCTGCCTACACAGGTGCACGGATACTCAGGGACACACATCCGCCGTCTGCATGTGCCTGGGAGTCCATACAGACACCTACATGGATGGACTCCTGGATGGCACACAGATGCATCTGGGGATGTTCTAAGGCACACCATCCCCTAAGCTCACACACAAGTCTGTGTGTGCAGATGTGACTAAGCACTCTGACCTTGGGAACCAAGTATGCCTCTCTGTGGTGGAGCTAAGTGCTAGGACTAAGTGTTTTACCCCTCCTTGTCAGAGTTGCTCTCCTCCCCATCCAACCCCCGTGTCTACACAATCATAACTCTGACCTTCCTGGCTTTGGTTTCCACCTCCAGTGTGCATCTTAAGTCTTCTCTGATATCAAAGCCAATATGGTATTGCTAGCCACCTGTGGCTGCTTTGATTTAAATGTGAATTAATTAAAATGAAATACAATGTAAAATGCACTGCTTCTGTCACAGTAGCTGTATTTAAAGTGTTCAGTTGTCATATCAGTACAGGAAGTTCCAGTAGTATTCTTAATTTAAGAGTGGGAGGCCTTGCTGGGCATGGTAGTGCACGCCTGTAATTCCAGCAATTGGGAAGCTGAAGCAAAGGGGGATTGACAGTTCAAGACCATCCTGGGTTACATAGGAAGACCCTATCTCAAAATAATAATTATAATAATAAAAGTAAAAAATTAAAGCCAAGTGCTGGTGGCTCATGCCTGAAATTGTAGCTAATTTGGGAGGCTGAGATTGGAAGAATTGTGGTTCAAGACCATCTGGGGCAAACAGTTTTTGAGACCCCATCTCCAAAATAACTAGAACAAAATGAACTGGAGGTGTGGCTCAAGCAGTAGAGAGCCTGCTTTGCAAGTGCAAAGCCTGAGTTCAAACCCCAGTCCCACAAAAAAAAAAAAAAGAGGAAGGGGTCTCCTGCCTGCCTCCTGGCCAATTCATTAAGGCAGGACCCTTGTGGGAAGGCAGAGCAGGTGTTCAGATTCCTCTCCTGCCTGGCTCAGGGCAGCTACCATAACTCCCATCCCCATCACGACCAAGTTCAAGTCAAGATGAGGTTCTCACTGCAGCCTGGGCTGGCCTGTCTCAGGTCCTTGAGTAAACAGCTCTGGGCTCTGTTAGGATCCATGAAATTCTGGACTCAGCACAGGAAGGGACCAGCTTCCTGAATGGCTATCTGGGGTCTAAGGCCTGCCCCTCTGGCTTCTAAACTTTTCTCTTTTTGGCAGTACTGAGATTTGAACTCAGGGCCTCATGCTTGCTAGGCAGGTGCTCTACTACTTGAGCCACTCCACCAGCCCTTCCACTGGCTTCTAGGATTTTCTGCTTCAAATTATCCAGAGTTTCTGCTGACTCTTTCTGGAGGCTCTGAATCCAGCCTCTAAACAAGGGGGTTACATGTGGTGGGTGGAAGCCTGTAAATCCCAGCACTCGGGAGGCTGAGGCAGGAGGATCTTGATTTTGAGGCCAGCCTGGGCTACATTGTGAGAACATGTCTCAAAAAAACATTGTGAGAACATGGCCCAAACAAAGCTGTTCACAACATTAACGTCTACCTCTATGGATCTTACTCGACCTGTAACATGAGGACTCAGGGGTCCTGAGAAACACATTGTAATTTTGGGAGGGTCTTCCTGGCCAAAGCCTGCTCTTTGGACCAACCCTCTCTGTCTTCCCTTGTCCCCAGAGGTACATGCTTTCACTCAACAGAAGTGCCAGCCATTGTCCTAAGTCCTGGATAGAGCACAAACCAGGAGGCAGTCTTGGAGCTGCGGAGTTCAGAGAGAACAGCAAAGGCTAGGCAAGCGAGTGACAGAGCTCGGATAAGGTGGGACCTTGGGGTGGGCTATTTCCCGGGCTCTGGCTATTGGAATAATAACTTGGAGGCCAGTGGCTGCGAGGAGTTTGCATTCGGGTTTTCAAGGGAAGCCAGGGTTGGTTTTCAGCAGGGGAGGGACATGGCTTGCATTTTGAAGAGCTCCCTGTAGTGGTTGGACAGTCCCATGCAAGAGTGCGAGTGGAGAGACAGGCACGGGACGGTCCCTTAGCCTCCACAGCACAGGGACCTCCCGGGTCCCCCCGCATGGAAGGAGCAAGGCCTGGCTCCCTAGGGTCTAGGAGAAGGGAGCCCCAGGACCTCAGAGCCTGGGGTGGAGGGTTTGGGGCGAGAAAGCCTTGCGAGCAGGATGAAGACGGTGTCCAGGGGCCTGTGGGTCTGGAGATGGTTGCCAGGGTGATGGAGGAAGGGTTGATGGTTGACCAGAACGGGTATCTGTTGTCTGGGCGACTGGAGGGGCCCAGGCAAAGGCTGACGGGAGGACAGTTGCCCGGGGCGACTCGGGTCGCTGACGGTTGCCTGGGTAACCAGGAGGCGCCTTCTTCCGCCTTCTGGGTCACGAGCTGGAGGAAAGCGAGAGGGAGGGGGCCTTGAAGGAAGCGTTACCGCTGATTGGACAGAGTCCTGGCGAGTCAGCCATCAGGAACTCGGAGTTAGGGATAGGCCCGCCCCCCCACACACCCTGAACCAATCAGGATTCGCCTTTCTTCAACCCTAAGGGCTGGGGGTGTATCACTTTGGGCCAGAGTGGGGACCTTGCGGTTTCTGGTTGGGGTCTTCTCAGGCTCGCCCTCACGCGCTCCCTTCTCAAAACTCCCACCTCCAGACCGCTTTCCATTATCCACTCGTTCATTCATTTCCTCCCTCATCCATCCATTCATTCATTTACTACTCGCCCATTCTTCATTCCCTCCCTCACCCATTCATTCATTCCCTCCTTCATTCATTCGCCACTCCTTCATCCACAGCATTCATTCATTCATTCACTCATCATCCATTCATTCATTCACCACTCATCTATGGGAGCCACCCACTCTACTACATCGCTGGCCCAGCACTAAGGAAGGGCGGAGGAGACAGAGACAGATACAGGGACTGAGACACTGCCAGCCCCTGGGGTGTGCTCAGTCCTGGGTGGAATGAGGAACTGGAGAGGGGCAGTAACCTGGAAGGAAGAAGGGAGGGGGAAGACGGGAGGGAAGGCTGCCTGGAAGAGGCAGTCTTGGAGGTGAACCTTTGGGAAAAAAAAATGTGCTGTAACCTATAGAAGCCGCCTAGACATGGATGATTTATCATTTCCTGAGACTGGAAGAAAAGGATGGGATAGTAAAGATGTGGGATTGTAAAGAATTCAAATGCCAGCGAGGGAGGGTCCTGAACAAATCTGTGTATCTGGAATATTACTTGGGGGCTAGTGAGGGGGCCGAACCAGGAGGGGAAGGCCTGGAAGGAGGGAGACATTGAAGCTGGGAGAGAGGTGAAGTCTACCCAGAACAGAGTGGAGACTGAGGCCCCGGGGACCCCCAGCATCTGAGGGACAAGCAGAAGAGAGAGGCCTTAGAAGTTGGAGGTGAAGCTGGCAAGTGTAGCACCCCAGCAACAGAAAAAGGGGAAGCATCAAGGAGCAGGGTATAGACCATGGTTTCAAAACCTGCTGAGAGAGGGCTGGTGGAGGGGCTCCAGTGGTAGGGCACCTGCCTAGGAAGCAGGAGGCCTTGAGTTCAAACCCCTGTATCTCATAAAGAAAGAGAAGAGGAAGAGGAGGAGGAGCAGAAGAAGAAGGAAGAAGAAGGAGGAAGAAGGAGGAGAAAGAAGGAGGAAGAAGAAAGAAGAAGAAGAAGCAGCTGAGAAGTCAGAAAGGCAGATGTTGGGAGGATCAAGGTTCAAGACCAGCCCAGGCAAAAAAGTTAGCAGGACTCCATCTCAATCAGTGGGCTGGGCATGGTGGCACATACCTATTATCCCAGCTATAGTGGGAGGCCTTAGGTAGGAGAATTCCAGTCTGAGGCCTGTCCTGGGAAAAATTGCAAGACCCTACCTGAAAAAATATCTCCTGAGAGATCAAGTATGAGGACTGAGCCATGCAGACCCAGGAGAGATGTTTCCCTGAAAATAACAAGGGAGGAAAGTAGGGAGAAGGGGTTGAGGACAGAAGGCTTGGCTGCTGTTCTGAGTGTGGTTAAGCAAGGATGAGGGAAGGGGAGATAGGGAACCTGGTTGGGGACACAACTGATTCCTTCAAACTGGAATTTTTTTGTTTTTTCATAGACTGGGGTTTGGACTCAGTGCCTACACCTTAAGCCACTCCACTAGCCCTTTTTTGTGATGGGTTTTTTCAAGATAGGCTCTCATGAACTATTTGCCTAGGCTGGATTGGAACCTGGGATCCTCCTCCTGATCTCTGCCTCCTGAGTAGCTAGGATTACAGGCATGAGCCACCAGTGCCTGGCTTACTTGTTTATTTACTCATTCATTTATTTCTGTGTAGTACTGGGGGGTTTAACTCAGGGGCCTCATGCTTGCTAGGCACACCCTAGTCCTTTGGCTTTTTTTTTTTTTCAGATAGCATCTTGTACTAACTTTGCCCAGGCTGGTCTTGAACTTAGATCTTCCTACCTCTGTCTCCTGAATAAGTGGGATTACAGGTGTGCACCACCATGTCAGGCTTAGGTGCTCAATTGAAGTGAGTTCACTTCCCTCCACTTCCTTTTTTCCCCCACATACTCTTAAATTCCCTCCATCAGAAATCCCTGCCAGCCCCTATCTGACCCAGCCCCTGATGTGATGGGGCTGAATGTGTCTGCACCCAGAGGGATCTGGGATCTGTGGGGGTTGGGGGGAAGATGGCCCTAGACACATTCAGGTCTCAACTCCTGTTTCATTCATTCAAGTAACAGTTATCTCAGTGGTGGAGCACTTGCCTAGCACGTGTGTTGTCCTGAGTTCCATCCCCAGCACCGCAAAAAAAAAAAAAAAAAAAAAGACAATTATTTCACCTCCTGTACACCAGGCTTGATGCTAGGCATTGAGGATTCAGCATTGAGCCAGGCAGGATCACAGGAGTGGTTCAGAGCCCCACTAAAGGAGGCCGTGGGAGCCCAGAGGAGGCTTGGCAGTGAGGCCCCAGAGACAGGAAGGCAGGACATTTTTAGAGTGATCGTTTACAAACTAATCAGATCAG